GATTCACATAAGGGTTAGGGTTAGGTTAAGGGTTAGGTTAAGGGTTAGGGTTAGGTTAAGGGTTAGGATTAGGTTTAGGGTTAGGTTAAGGGTTAGGATTAGGTTTAGGTTAAGGGTTAGGTTTAGGATTAGGTTTAGGGGGGGTTAGGTTTAGGTTTAGGGGTTTTAAAACTGTTTATTTCATTTTCATTTTCATTTTATACAATCACTTATACAATTTTAGGTTTAGCGTTTACAGTGTGCTTCTGTCTCCGCGCTGTTGTCGCCCTGTTGATGATGTCAGCTACGCGGTTTCGTCGAGCACGCTTTAGTCGAACGCGGTTTTGTGGCGGAACCAAGAAACAGAACCATACAGTTGGGAAAATCCAAGCTAGCTGACATGGCAGCTTCTGGCCAGTGCAATTCTAAATACCTAAATTATAAAGAAAGTTTGTTCCTTCTGAAAAATCTACAGAGCAGACAATATACACGCACCTGACAGATAAACTGCTTTATCCACCATATATTCTTCGGCAAAACGGATATGGCAGAAATGCTTTTTACTCTTCCGAAGAGCGATGATCTCTCCGCACTTCTCAAAAATCTCCACGATGGTCTCTTCCGTCCCATTTTCTGGCAGCCCCCCAACAAACACCGTCTTGCACCCAGGAGGCCTCTCCCTTGTCGTGGGCGGAGGAAGATCTAGAAATACAAGAGGAAAACTTTCCATGAGCAAAAGATAATCAGGCGGTCATTTATAAACCAATAACAACTGACAGGGGGAAAAAATACACCTAATTATTGAGCAAAGCTGCACTTAATAACAATTGAACAGATAGTACACCAATGTAAAGGTAAAGATTCCCCTCGCAAATATGTGCTAGTTGCTCCAGACTCTAGGGGGCAGTGCTCATCTCTGTTTCAAAGCCGAAGAGCCAGCGCTGTCCGAAGACATCTCCATGGTCTTGTGGCTGGCATGACTAAACACCAAAGGTGCGCAGAACGCTGTTACCTTCCCACCAAAGGTGGTGCCTATTTTTCTACTTGCATTTTATGTGCTTTTGAACTGCTGGGTTGGCAGAAGCTGGGACAAGTAATGGGAGCTCACTCCATTACGCAGAGCTTAGGGATTCAAACCGCCAAACTGCCGACCTTTCTCAGCGTCTTACCACGACCCACCACGACCACAGGAGTCATGCCTGCAGCCGGTCAATTTGATTCTAGCAGGCATTGTCACCTCCCACCTCCTTCAAAGATCTCTGAAACCAGATCTCTGCAACACCGCGACCCTTCCCTTGATCTACCATTCGACCCAGGCAGCAGGGTGTGACTTTCTAATTCCAAGGATTTCCTGCGAGCCCTCTAGGGCAGTCGCAGGCATTCAGGCAAGGCTCACTCGGATTAGGTGGAAAGAGCGTGCAGCTTTTACAGTGGACGATCTCCTTGGCCATCGGCATATCGGACAGGATGGGCGGTGGCACGATTCCCAAGCCGGGCATCAGCGGGTTAAGCGGCGGGATGCCCGTCATCATTCCCAGGGAAGGGTCGAAATCTGAAAGACAGAAGGATTTGAGACGTAAGCGCACAAGCATCCCAATGAAGATTCCAAGCGGATTACGCACCCGTTAAGAATCAAGGGGCCCAAGATTGTGAGAGATTCCTAAGGCGATGCGCTTTGAAAAAGCCAAGCTCGTTTATCAGCGCGGAATCCATTGCACGAAACTGGCTATTCTGGGTTTGGGAAGAGAAGGAGATCTGGACGAGGAAGCATCCACAGTTTGCCGAATTATTTCCCAAGTTGCCCTCCAGCCTTTCTTCCTGCTAGAAGGACGCCAACATGTTGAACGTCAGAACGGAACAACTCACTGCGGCCAACTCGCCCTGGGACAATTCAACAATTCAATTTAATTCATCATCATCATCTTCTTTTCACGACCCCATAATCCCTTGCGCGGTGGAGTCTGGAGAACTGAATGGGCTAGCAGAGTGTTTACTGGCCCGATGCCTTTCCCGTCGCCAATGCGGAGTTTTGTTAGCAGATATATTCTCGGTGTGGCCAGAGAGAGAAATATCTGCCTCTACCTAGGACTGAACTCACAGCCTCCCAACTGTGAGGCGAGAGCTCCATTTGTAGGCCACCGCACCACTCTCAACAATTCAATTTAATTATTTAAAATAATTTAAAAACAATTTTACTTTTTGTCATTCACATTTCATTTTGTCTCTCCTTTGGCATCTTTTATTTAATTATTCTATTCCAACATTTCTTTGATATTAGTATAACTCTTTTCCTGTAGCGAGTTGGCCATGGTGAGTTATCCTAAGACCCTTTGTACACTGGCTTAGTTACTTTCCCATCTTCTTTTTCACTTTTTCATGGGTTGCTATTTTTGCTGTTTAAAAAACAAAGACTTCCAGGCACTAAGAACCCCCATCCACTTGAAGGAAGAGAGGAAAGCAAAATTGAGCTCGAACTGGGTGGAGTAAAATAGCCTTTTGCACATCAGAACCCTGCCACTGTGTAAATATCTGAGTTAAAATACTATGGCAGAAGATATAATATTGTTTTGTTATTGGAAAGATACAGGTTGATAGATGGAAGAATAGAACTTAAAACTAGTTAAACTTAGTGAAACTTAGTAGTAGTAGGATATAATTAAATAAATAATTGATAATGATAATAATGTATACAATGTGTAGTGTTATGATAAGTAATAATTGGATANGGAGCTGGGGAGTGGGCACAGCGGCATGTGCCTTGGCGCCTTAGGGATACCCCCTAGGTCAGTGAATGGTGCTCTGCCCAGCTGGAGAGGGGGTTTGACGGGCGGCTGCTCGTGAGTGTGGTCACCTCATGGTTGCTTCACCCCTGAGGCTATGCCCAGCTCTTCGGGAGCCAGTTCGCAGGGGAGCAGCCACCCGGCAACTCCACCCTCCGGCCAGGCAGAACACCACTCCCCAACCTAGCAGTATCCCGAAGGCACCAAGCAACATGAGCGCCTTCCCCCCCCCCCCAGCTGCCGCAGCTTGGTGCCTTCAGGATACCACTAGGTTGGTGAGCGGTGCTTTGCCTGGCCGGAGGGAGGGGTTGTCCAGGGGGCTTATTTTGGGGGGTGGGCTTATATTTTTGCCCACACAAAAATATGGCCATGCGTTAGTTTCAGAACAGGTCATATTTTCGGGGAAGCACGGGAGTATGAACTTACTAAAACATTCGGAATGTGCTGAGGTTCCAGAGAGAAAAATTTTTCATATCTGACCACAGTCTCAAAGAATTCCAGAGTTACTGATGTGTGCTGGTAGGTGCTAATACCTGATGTAACCAACTAAAGAGAAAAGGAAAAGAGAAAAATGACTGAGTCAATTTTGTTGAAATAAAAATTGTAACAAATTACACTGATTTTGATTCACACTTACAGTCCGCATCATATCTTGCAGAGCACCAGCTTTTGTATCACCTGTAAAGTGAATGCTATGAGATACTGGAAGAGCTTCAGCTAACATGTATAACAATCTTATTGCTACTTCTACTTCCATAAATGGTTTGGTTTGCCAATTCCTAAAAGAAAGAATAGATAGAAAACAAATTTACAAAATCTAAAATTATTTTATGAATAATTTATTAGAATTCAGCTGAATTAAATATACCTATAAAAACATCAATGTTTCATCAACAAATAAATTAAGCATTAACAATTAATTTCTGGGATTATCAACTACATTAGCCTTCTCCAAACCTCTCTTTTATCTTTTGGATAAACTTTCTCCAAGTCACTAGTCGTTGCTTATGGTGATAATGGATTATAAAATTTGAAATTTAATTGATTAATTTGGTATAAACTCTATATATTTTTACTATAGTATACACTACAGAATATGAACCCTAAAAGAGGGAAGATTATTCAAGTATTTTTCTTGTGAACAAGAAGAAACTTAATTTGGCATTATATTATGAAATAAATTCTTCCTGATTGTTATATTCAATCCTCTTTCCCCCACATTAAAATTCTGTGCTTGTGTTTTAAATTATCAAGTGTTTTTGAAGATGATACCACTTACTGTATTTTTCGGAGTATAAGACGTAGCGGAGTATAAGGCACACCAAGATTTTGAAGAGGTAAATTTTTAAAAAAGTTTTTTCCCTCCCCGGCTCCCAGGAGCATTTTACAGGTATCCCAAACCATCTGCATGCCCCGTTTTTTGTGAAAAATAGGACATGCAGAGAGTTTGGGAGGCCTGCAAAGTGCTTCTGGGGCCGGGGAGGGTAAAAATGTGACGTGTGGGGGCTTGATCTTTTTAAAGAGTAAGGCTTTTATCAATCTCAAATCCACTTTTCTCTACCTCTCCCATAGCAGGAAAGGACTAAAAATCTCTCTCCGTGCTTTTTTTTTACCGCTTTCCTCGGACTGGCGGTGACAGTGAGCCGCTTGGCCCAAGGAGCAGTAGTCGGCTCGCTTCTTTTCTTCAGCGAGGAGGGAAAGACATGCGGGGGCTGCTGAATGGCTGCTGCTGGGCTTGACTGGGAACGGCCCATTGGATGAAGAGGGGTGGGAATCCCTTCCATTTGGATTAATGGTTCCTCGCGGTGGCGCGTGTGCAGCAAAAGGGAAGCATAAAGGAAACAAGGCTGCCTTGTCACACACATACCCAAATCCGCCTGAATCGCTCATGTAGCAAAGAGATACGGTAGCTGGGCTTAATAGCAGCAAGTAGCAATAAGTACTGCATGACAGATCCAGAGGGATTACCGTATCTCTTTGCTGCGTGACAGATCCGGGCAGATTGGGGTGGGGAGGTGCCGCAAGGGAAGAGGATCTCCTCTGCACAAAGGCTTTTCTGCACAATCTCCTCTGCACAAAGGCTTTTCTCAGGACACTAGATCTCCACTTTGTCTCCAGAAAAAGCTATTGTCATAGTTTTTTGGAGGGCAGTTCCAGGCTGCAGGGATCTCCTGGCACCTGAAAAGCTCTTTTTCGTCCCCGATTGCAAAAATGGGGCTTGTATTCCTCCTGGCCAGATCCATCTCCCGGGCTAGGAGCAGAAGCTGACGACTGGGTTGTCTGGAGAAGCGGGAGTCCGAGCAGTGAGCCACCTTGTCTTATGCCTCGCCTCCTGTGCAGTGCCCGCTTCCCCTTCCCCTTCTCCAGACGACCCAGGCGGCTACATTCAGAGTATAAGATGCATCCAGATTTTCACCCTCTCTTTGGGGAGAAAAAGGTGCGTCTTATACTCCAAAGAATATTGTAATTCTTTCCAATTTACTGTCAGACCTGCAAGTGATCTTTTCTTTTTAGGCTTCAGGCCTGCCACATTTTCCACTGTGGGAAAATGGGAGGGGAGATTATACAGAGTTGGGTGATGTGTAGCCTTCATAACATTCTTCTTAGAAAGTCAAGGCTGCTTTTGTCTCTGCACCTGGCTGGATGTGGATGGGAGGAATCTGTCTTCGTGGCAGTGAACCACCATGTGATGGACTTGTGGGTGTTGGGGCAGGATCTTGAACTTTCAACTGGGTGGGAAAACCTGGAAGCTTTCAGATTTGGGTTTTCCCAGGTGTGCCAACATGACATCTCTAATAAATTGGAACGTTGAGGAAATACAAGCCTCGGAATTTTATTTCATTGGGGTGTTTTTTGAAACCCTGACATTTACTAGAAAGCACTTCTTTTTCTTTCTTCCAGGAGAACACAATGGAGACACAGTGGGAGAAAGGTATTGCCTTTAACGTGTTTTTTTCCACTCAGGTTAATGAACCCAATAAACTTGCAAATGTATTAACAATTAACAAAGGATCTATATAGCAAAAAACCCTATGAAATCCCTATCTACATCATAGTTCCAGTAATCAGATTTTGGCTACTAAAATGTAGTCATTATGAATCAACCAACTGGAAAACAGGTCTTAAGTATCAATGGAAATTGTCACTAAAAAGAAAGAAGCATTTACATAATTACTAGAAATGAAAATATCAGAAATTCATTTGGAACTTACTGCAATGTAGTGTTAAAAACTCTGCGAACAGAAACTAATAGTAATTCAGGTGAGACTTGTGCAAGTCTATCCAACAACAGTTTTAGCTGTTTCCGATATTCTACAAACATGGCTTCATCTTCACCCTGTCAACATAGATAGTATGAACAGATTAGCTCCATAATATACTAATTTACATTTGGATATTACAAGGCATTTCTTGCTAGATGATTAACAACATTAATAGATCCATCATCCTTGTTGCCTGCAATCTTATTATCCGTGAAAATAGTCCTGCTAGATTGCAACCACATAAATGCGTTTATTATCATCATTCACTCTTACTACCTTTTGTCTCACTCTTGATTCCTGATGACTAGGTGGGCAAGTCCACATACTTTTATTGACCACATTTTTAGACGTGATTTGTTCTTGCCTTATGCTAAGGAAGGAAAGAACTGATTTCCTGCCTGGTACCTTTAACCACTACACCAAAATGACTGTTGTTCCTGTTCCTTTTATTGTTATTTTAAAGTAGGAACAGGAACTTGACCTCTTGTGCCGTGAAGGCGAATGGAGTGGTGGGTGTAAAATAGAAGAAGAAAAGAACCCAAAGGATCAAATACTTCTCATTTCTAAAAAAACACCTATGAAAATTATTTAAAAGTTTGTTTTAGATCACAATGTTAAAATAAATAATTATCTACATTAAAGTTGTTTCCACATTTATGAGAAACTTACTAATGAAAAAGTCATAGTTTTCAAGACTACTTACAAGCATATATCAATCTAATTTTCCAAAAAAAGCTTTACATATTATAGCTTCTAATTCCTGTTATTAGTCTTTATAAACATTTGAGCTTAACAATATCCTGAAATTCTGAAAAATGTCAGTGACAAAACTGTTTTATTAGTTTATAATATAACATTCTACAAAGAGAATACAAAAGCAAATATTAGGGAAATTAGGGAAGGACAAAGGGAAGTGAATAGTGGGGGAAAGGAAGGGGGGAAGGCATTGACTTCTGACTCCTTTGGTGCAGTTGAATAAGGCATTAAGATCTACTCTCAACTTTTTACTTTTTCATAATAATAGAAACTAGCCATTTCGGTAACAACAAAACTGTATACAATGCAGTACTGACAGTTTTGCCCGTCAGTGGAAACATACAATATAAACTGTCTAGCCATATTCATTATTCTTGGTCAACTGTTACATTCTTCAAAATCATATGACAACATTGGGGCACTGTTTTGCAATGGTCATTATCCTTCTTGCTGAAATATTCAGTCTATTTTGGACAGGTCTACAACGCTTTGAAGAATGCTCCTTCATTCTCAGCTCTCTGGAATAACACTGGGAAAGACTGGGAAAGAGCACTAATGAGTCCACTGTGAACCTACAATGTGGCTATATTTTATTTTGCAGCAGTGCAGCACAAGTTATAATGGGGTATCTAAAAAGTATCCAGATTAGTCCAAAACTATGATTTCTGGAGCTAGACAGCTAACTGGAATAAGAAACAGGTAGCACAAAAACTGAAATTGTCAATGAATTATTTAAGGGTGACTGCTAACCTCATTTTCAAAGTTGTATTCTTCATCATATGTTAATTTTTTCATTACTGCCAGCATAATTGCCTAGAAAGATAAATCAGTGATAAAATTATCATCTAATATAAGCTTCTATTTATTAAAATAATAAAAGCATGAGAAAGATTCAATAGAAATAATGCAGAGCAGAAGTAATTAAATATTCTTAAAGCAATCTGTATGTCCACTGTTTTATACTATACCCATGATGGTGAACCTATGGCACATGTGCCAGAGGTGGCACACAGCACCCACTCTGATGGCACGCAAACCGTTGCCCCAGTTCAGCTCTGCCATGCATGCGTGGGAGGGGAGCTTGGAGGGGGCTGTGTGTACATGCGTGGGGGGCATGCATGCAGAAGGGTGCAACCATGCACAGGGTCAGGGAGTATGCAGGGGGTGCACCCACGCGCATTGCATTTTTGGGTTTGGGCATGCTTTGGACACTCGTCCAGAAAAGATTAGCCATCACTGTATTATACCATTATAAATGCAAGAAAAAAAATAGTAATTTTAAGTGCAAGACATTCAGCTGCATAGAACTTAAAATAAACCCTGTTTAGCATTTGATTTATATATTTTTACTGAGCTGGTTTGGACATCAGAATAAATAATAATTTTTTTGAGAATAAACTTATCTTCCCTTCCCCTCCTGACCATTCTCTTTTATGTTACCCTCCCTCTCTCAACAAATAAACTTCTTCTTCTCCTCTCATAATGCTAAAAACTATGACTTGAAGGGTCCTCCCCCCCTAATTAATCATTGTGTTCAACTGGTGATGGAAGGACAGTGAAAGAAAATACCAGAGGTGGGTTGCTACCGGTTTGCACCGGTTCGGATGAACCGGTAATGGAAATTGGGACTGGGTCGCCAAACTGGGAGGGACGACAGGCTAGCCCAGCACCCGTACCAGTTCCCGATTGCCCATGTCATTGCTGGCATGTTTTTTAGTCATTTTATAATGTTTTGCACATGCACAGAACAATTTATAGGCAACTGAGCATGTATAAGCAATGTGCAGCGTTCGCACGAAGCGAACCAACAGTAACGCCGGCAGCAACTCACCACTGGAAAACATTACTTTTATTATATTATTAAAATGGCATGCAGCTGCATTTTGGGGAGGGGGTCCTCCTCTAAATTAAAAAAAAACATAATAATTTCATGACTTGTTAGTAAAAAAAGTTATTATCTGATAAGAATTTAAATAAATTTGGGGATTATTTAGTTTTTGAATTTACAATTTTAATGTTAAAATATGTTTGCTTTACTGCAGATCTGAAATGGCTTCCCATGGCAGTTTTATTGACTAGAAAAACAAAAAGCTTCAAAAAGGCTTTTCATTATTCTTACCTCTACGTTAGCTTTTTGTTGTTCTGAAAGCACAGGGAGCTACAAAATAAAAGAAACAAAGCCTAGTTTTGAAATGTCTCAAATAATGTACACATATTAATGCTGAAAAAGTTGAGGGAAAAATTGACTTTTGAGAATGCAAAATTTCATAAATTTACCTGTTTCAATATGTGCAGATAATCATAACAGAACCCTATTATATTTGAAGATATATCATCATCTTCATGAATCAAAAGCTGTAGCATTAGAGCCACTTTTGCTTCAATTGCTTGTAGACTATCTTGAGCATTTTTCAAATCTCCAATCTTCACAAGTTTAGACCAGCTAGCTATCAATGCCTGCCCCATTCCATTTATCAGTTTAGAAAATCTAGCTAGAAAGTCTACATCTTCTTCCTGTAAAGGTTAAACATTAATTAAATACTTTTAAAGAAAAATGAACAATTTGAGACACAGATTATATCCATGTAAAAATTAAAATATCTCTGATGGATTCTGTTATAGTAGATTACTAGGGATCAAAATGATCACTTAGACAGCAATATTGGTTGCACTTACTAGATGAAATGGCAATAAATAAAATCTGTTAGCATTGTTATTCTTATTTTCCCAAAGACCACTTGCAAAAATTGAGTTTTATGATGATGGCTATGGTAAATCTATGGATTTACAGTATCCCAATTCTTTTACACATGAATACTTTTCACACACACACAATGTCAGCATGTGAAAATGCAAAAAGTTAAATACCCCACCCCACCCAAATCTATTCAGCTGACAATCTTATAAAATTATACAATGTGGAGAAATTACAGACAGAGTATTACACACTGAAGCTGGATAATGGGAGCCTTACCACAGATGAAAAGAAATGCTTTATCACATAAGCACAGTTAAACTACTGCAGTTTACAGCAAACAACACAAATGACTTTTACAAGTACTGAAGACACAAACAGTCATACAAATTATAGTAATGTAACATTTCTCTCACTAAAAATAACTAACCTGATCAACTATAAATAGGCCAGCAGACTGCAAAACTTGACACAAAGTTTCTACCAACTTAGTTTTATCAATTGGATCCATTCCCTTATTTACAATTTCAAACAAGCAGTCACATGCTTCCTCTCGTAAAACTTCTATGGACATATGACCTAGCAGCATATTTATAAACCTTTAAAAAAAGACAAAAAATTTGCTTTCTGAGTAAAAACAAATTGATAGTAAATTTTACTTTATCAGCCTTATATTCTTATATTCTTGTATAAGAAATACAAAAGCTGTGTGTATTAGTGTAAGTGAAACCACATTTTAACAATCCTCATTTACCAGATTCTTATATACATCAACAAGTCCATTGCACTGAGATAGTCTGGATAAGGTAGTTAAATTTACATTACTTCTACTTTAACTTTGCATCTGTGTCAATTTATGCTATCTGTATAATAACATGCAAATAACATAAAATGCTATAATTATACTGTTGTAAATCGACACAATGAGATACTGTTATATTTAACAGATATTCAGAAATAATAGACAATCTCCTCAAAAATAGCTCTTTAAAATTAGGTTTCACTGCAAGCTGTTTCACTGTTAGCTAGTTAGCTAGCAATTATTTTAAAATGGCTAATTTTCCAAACAATTACAAAAAAAACTTTTTAAAAAAATGGTTACCCTAAAATTTCACTAGTTTTATTACCCAGTAAGTTCATTAGTGAATTTTGAATCAACAAGAGCATTACCTTTCATTTGCAATTAGACTCAAATCTATCCAAGAGACATATGCTCCAACTACTTCAAGGCACTGACATGTCAATTCTGAATTTGTATATTGATATGTTTGCAAGATTTGATACCATGATTCAACCAAACTTGGAATGCATTGCTCCCTCATAGTATCTTTTAGTAGAGTATTTCTGCGAGCCTCCTATGAATATAAGGATGTTAGTCTTCAAAAGTAAAAACTGAGATACCTATTTCTGTTCTTTGAAAATTGAAAAAGTTGGGAAAGTTAATAGTAGCAGTAATCTAATATTCGTCATAAAATGCAACTCTATGGTTGATGTTTCTTCATCACTACTCTGTAATTTCAAATGTGTAATATTTCAAACTTTGTATGACATGCTGCTTAAATGTTAAACAAAAATCACATATTAGGGATGAAATGCATTTTTAAAAAAAATTCTAAGAGTAGTCTCTGCATATAAAAGAGAGGAAGTCTAAAACTCCCTTCTTGGGGGCATCATGCCAAACACATAGGCTTGAGTCAATCTCCCAATGTGACCTTACCCAAAAGCAGCATTGCTGGGACAGATGATCAAGGAGCTGTAATATTGATTGGTTAACTGTAATCACAGTCTCAACAATCTTTACATTCCTTCTCCACCATGCTCTATGGTTTTTCATATCTCTTACTTTTTTTTAATTGCCTGTCCTGCTTGCAGTTGGGTTTTTTTATAATCTTCCTTAACTCATGCCTCCATTTTTCATGAATCTCTCTCTCCCTGCCTTGCTTTCCTCTGCTTTCTCATGCCTTCTGCCTTTTAATTCTCTGACACATTTCATCACCCTGTGCTTACCAATCTTTTTTTTTCTTGCTGCTGCAGTCTATACATCTCTATACGTTATTTTTGTCCGACTGTCACTATATATGTATGCATTACCTTCTACTTTAGAGCATGGGAGTAGGAGTATCCATCTATGTATTATGTTATGCTTGAATGTTGCAGTCTGCATTTGGTGAATCTAAGTGAATTAGTTTGTCTTTCTGTTTCTTCTCTTGTATGCCCTTTTTTATGTATAATTTTTACTTTATTTACTGTGTATATTTTTGTTTCTGGTTGGGGTGTGTGTTTACATTTTAGTACATGTGACAATGTATTTGTAGTTCTATGTGGCTGAATTGCAGAATGTTTAAATTTTTGCCTGCGTCATTTCTTTTTTACTATTTACTCTACTTGGTTTTTATGCTGCCTTAATCATTTACCTAACATTAGACAATTTACATATTAAAAACCATAGAATTTCTATGTAATAATGAGTATTATTGTCAATATATGTCAGATATCACTCATCAGGTACAATTGTAAGAAGTAACTTTAAATGGACTGAGGATCTCTTGTGTTTTTCCCTATAGAATTATTATAGCAGATGCAATTTAAGAAGGCTGAAATGATTCATAACTGCATTAGGCAAAATTTCATCAGTGATATTTTTAACAAATGACTTTAAAAGCTAAATATTCTTTTCTACCCATTGTTAACCTGAAAGCCAATGTGAACTGTGAATGTAGGAACCCTGGTTTTTAAATCCGTAATGACCTGAACAACAGAACCAAGCCTTAACAGCTTCTGTGGTTCAACATATAAAACATTTTTTTCAGTTTCCTTTATTTTTAAAGTAGAAATTAAAACATTTTCTATAATCTAAAATTTAACAAGTCCTTCTATTATACATATGATGGTGAGCTCAAATTGTATCACAAGCTCTATTGCAGTTTCTCCCAACCCAATATTTTGCAAGTGTGTCAGGACTTAAATTTCTTGAGTTCCCCAGCTAGCACAAAAATTCTGAAAACATTCCAGTACATCTGGATGGTACCAGGTTGAAAAAGACATTTCTACAGTTTCTAAATATGCCTTAAGACATGGCTTCTAAACTTGTCTTGTTTAACAAAAGAGTTGATTATGAAACTGTCACCAAAAACCAACTTATTATGTGAAGATTGTTATATAACCCTTAAATCAATGGGCACATTTATTTTATAAAAAAGGAACTTACCTCTGAGGTATGAACAACATCCCTATCTACAAGTTCAGCATCAACTGCCATAAGAATTCTGAGATAAAGGTCCACACCTCGAGGATTCAGGCCTACCACAGACAGAATATCAAAGAAAAACTTGGGCCATTTTGTAAGATATTCTGTAACAAACAGCAAAGCAAAGACCTGAGCTGCTTTGTTTCGTATAAATGTCTTCTCTGACTGAGAATTCATCATCTGGAAAAAAATGAATTTTTATCATTTTTCAAGATATAATCATATATGAAATAAGCGGTTATACGTATTTTTAAAGATAAGGTAATCTATTTGGAAAATTATTGAAACACACGGTAAATAATAATAAATTATATGAGAAAAACATACCTGTGCCTGTAGCCATGTTACTAGTGTTTCCCTAATTAGCTGTTGCTGTAGTTCAGTTAGTTGAGAATACCTGAAACAGAACATTAATATTAAAATATTTGCAAACATTTCAGAGAAACATTCCTGCAGAATCTTCCAGTATTCTGATGGCTACATAAGCTTTTGGGTTTTTAAATACAACTGCTATGGATAGGAATCTTTGCATTAGAAGATTACACAGGAGTTAAATATGTAAAATAAAATACATAAACAGAAACAAGTAATTTGATTTATATATGTATACTTATATGTGTATATTTACATGCACACATGCTAATATATAGTTCCTCTTAAGTTTCTTCCAATTCCAATTCAGACCCATTCAAAAATTGTGAATTTGGAAAGGATTGCAAAAATTACTTCAACCTTTCATAAATATAAAGCAAGTATCTCACTTGTATTTAATTTGATGTTCCAAAACTTGAAAACAGAAGAACTTGATGTGATCATCACTGAAACAGAAAAAACAATCCAATAAATCTGGGATGAAAGAGTTTATTTGATATGTTTTATCTGAAGATGGTTGGGATAGGAATCTAGTCACTGATTAAAATTTTGCTTTCTTTATAATGGTATACAAATATAAAATTATAGACAAATATGTACATATGTATTCATTTACTGATTTCACTTACATTCTGCTCTTCATTTGAAAACCTAAACTGATATCTGGGTTCAAGCCAATCTCCTTCTAAATAACAAAATTGAATACTTTTTGCAGCAGAAATCATTGTTCCAAACCATTTTTGTTTAATGACAGGTTACAAAATTTAGCTATAAATACTACTAACTAGATATTGTTTTTGAACACTACAAGCAAAGTAGTAAAATATTATTAAAAATAGTCCAATTCAAGCAAGAGATTTTACATTTAAGCTATATTCCTAGAGATTGATCACAGAGTTGGGTGTAGATACTTCAGACTACTACACAGATATCTCAAGACAAACTAGAGATTATGGACATTCAATTCATATTACAACATGGGTTATGTTTAGCTGTCAGCAAATGGCTTCAAACTCTGGCATGAGTGAACTAATGAATAATTTCTCCTAAAATATCTAAGAGATTGTTAAGTCGGTTAAGAGACAGAAATAGTATCTATTCGAACATGCAGGTTATGTTATGCTCATGCTGCTACAATATCTGTTTAGACTAATAGCAGATTAATCTTTTAGACTAATAACAGATTAATCTTTGACTTGGATTCACACATGTAAAAGGAGAAAATGCAGCATTCAGGTGCATAGAATATCTATTAACTGAAAACACTAAATATAGCAACATATATGAAAATCACAATACCACACATAAAAACAATCCAGTTTTTTCTAATTTAACGGTTCTTTCCGCTATAATTCTAGCCCATAAAATTAAACAAAGCAATGTGAAGAACTCTGGAGGGCTGACAAAGTTCCTGAGAAACAGAAGAGAATTCAGCTTTCATTAGTTCCACTATTTGTGTTGATCATGATATAACTGCATCAAACAGTAATAGAGCTGGTTGCTTGAAATTTATATTTACAATTATTGCATATGCAGAGTAGTGTTTCTACTTCATATGCAATTTCAATATGACTACAAAAATATAAGCTAGCTGTTATGAATCAAGGGATCCTTGGTGCTCTCTGGGCTTGGTTGTTTTCTTGCACATTTCATTACCCAAACTAGGCAACATCAGCAGTGTTAAGGATGTTACCTAGTTTGGATAATGAAATGTCTGCAAGGACTCCTTATTTCAACCCTGAACTAGACATATTCCCCTTTATTGGTACGATTATGAATTATAGCGTATGTGAGAATAGACTTATGCAATACACTCTTTCTTATCATTCTACTTAAGAAAAGGAACAACTTAAATTTTGTTACCTGTAGATTCTTTGGGCTAAAGCTTCAGCACACAGTTGCCAAGCATCAGGAGATATCTTCAGCTGTTCAAAATAGGCCAATGCCTGAAATTATTTTTAAAATATTTTTGAATAAACAGATATTGGCACAATAAAAATAGTTGTTCTGATTCTCTATAACTTTGACATAAAGTAAATTTAAGAAGTAAATTTAATCCGTGCAAAGTTGCTAAAGGAATAGGGGAAATCTGAGAGAAAACAAGTGAAGCAGAGGTCTGAGGAATAGCACTTTGATAGAAAACTTGGGGCGGGGGGGCGGGGAAGAGACTGAGGTAGAAAACTGGGGAGCAAAAAAATCTCATGCCTAATAAAATAAAATATTAATGATAAAAAGAACAGAAAAAACAACATGTTTGACCATATGAAGGCTTAAAAATGAGTGGAAAGCCTGACCTCTATTCTCTCTGTCATCCATATTGTCATTTGTGAGACCTGTTTACAATTCCTCACATATGAATAGGTCTTCGAATGATCAAGAATCCTGCAAATAGTGCAGAAAGATTTGCAGACCAGCAAATATAAGAGTATCTCCCTTTTTCATTTTCTAACCGAACATGGGGAGGTGAGAAAGAACATTGGTTACAAGTATGATCACTATCACCTCACATATTTTGATGAAAACCTGAGGGAAGAATTAATTTAATGCAAGAGTTGGCAAATTTCTTCCTATTGTGAATCAAGTCCCCTCCATGATAATCTGCTGGGGATCATAGGGCAGATGGCACTAATTACAAGCCAAAGAGGGATCAAAAACAAAAAGTGTGTGGAAAAACTCACTCTCTATTTAACACATATTTTAAATTTTTTGACATTGTCATCTGCTTTTCAAAAAACAATACTGCCAGTTTAACTTAATCCAATACTACCCATATCTCAGCTGGACTTTGAGGGATAGAGAAGAATACCCAGGTCACAAAAGGAAATAAACCAAAAAGAAAAAGGACAAAATTGGGATGGTGATGACAATGCAGTAATATAAACACAATGTTGTAAAAAAATAGGAGTGCATGGAGAAGAGATGAAGATGTTAAGAAACAGGTGACCAGGACTATGAAGGCACTTGGTGAAATCTTCACAGAGCAATGAAATGGTAAGGATTGGTTAAGAGAAGTGTGAACTAGAGATGAAAAGATCTTGATAAATGGTATGTAGCTTTAAAAAAAACAGCCATATCTTGGCTATAAATCAGAAATATTTATAGCAAGGTGAAATTAAAGTGCTTTTCTTACTGAACTTCTTATAAAAACAAAAATTATGAGAAAAGCATAATTAAACTTACTCGCTGCCTGAAATCTAAATCAGCATTAGGATTTAATCCTAGAAGAGCTTGCTCATCCATTTCTGCTGCTATTCTCCAGCTTCTTTTACAGGATTATCCCATTCATACACAATCAGAGATACAAACATCTATGGATGAAATAAAATTAAGATGGTAGCAAAACTCTAAATTAAAGCCAAAGTTTAAAAGTAATTTTGTCTCAATGTAGATGAACTACATCTTAGACAAAAAGATCAGATATCAGAAAATCTTACAGTCCAGCACATCTGGAAACCTGAAACAGTCAATGCTAGGCAAGATTTAAAAAAAAATATTCCAACCAGATATGAAGCAAAATAAAAGTATCATTATCCTATGTTGTTAGCAAAGGCATAGGCAATGTGTTCTTAGCCACTAGTCTCTTTGCAGATACCTTTCATGGTGCCTGGTGTGATTAATTTTTAACATACAATTTTAAATATAATAAACAAAATAGAAAGCAGACATATTGCAAAGCAAAGCAACATAATCATATTTATTTCTAAAATTCCATCTGGCTACCATAGATAGTATTAGGAAATGCAAAACATGAATACAGTCCTCTGATTTCTTTCTGCAGATTTACCAAGAAAAAATAGAAAGTATAATTTGGGAGATACAAAGCATGCTGGGAAGATAGATGAAGTGACAGGGAATTAGCCACTACTTTGCCTTTAAGAGAATGTGTTTTGTAACTGAACAAAAGGAATCCCAAAGGTGCTTTTTCAGGAGGCAACTGGACTGGGTTTTTTTTCTTTTGAAGACGTTTGGCTTTTCATTCAAGAAGGTTCTTCAGCTCTGACAGCTTTAATGGGGAATGGAAGGATTTATATTCCTTGCAGACAGCTGATAGCCTGCATCCTTTTAGAGGGTCCTTAAAGAACTTGAAGGTTTATCTGTGTCCTCAGGGTCACCTGAGTAGTGTTCCTGGTTCCTGTAGTCCTAGTAGGTTCTAGAGGGAAAATTGCAGACTACAAGAACCAGGAACACTACTCAGATGACCCTGAGGACACAGAAAAACCTCCAAGTGCTTCAACAACCCTCTAAAAGGTTGCAGATTACTAGCTGTCTGCAAGGAATAGAAATGCTTCCATTCCCCACTAACCTGACAGAGCTGAAGAAGCTTCTTGAATGAGAAATGAAACGTCTTCAAAAGAAAAAACAAGAAAGTCCAGTTGCCTCCTGAAAAAGCACCTTTGAGACAACCATGACCTGGATCTCTACAGACTGAAAAAAGGAATTTTGAATCTTAATTTGATAATGAGATCTGTATAAATGCAATATGAAGATCTTATATTTTAGTGATCTAACTATTTAAAACATCAGTAAGTAATAGAAATTTATGAATAATCTTTGGAAGAAGAGAAATGTGAATTCTTTGCAATAGTAACAGGGCTGTTAAGGAGCAAAACAAGAGCTCACATGCACACATCCTTTCTTTCTTATTCACACATCTCTCTGGCCTCCAACCGTGACAACAATCCAAATGCAAGTATCAACAGCCCTCAACTTATGACCACAATTGGAATCACAATTTTGATAGTTAAGTGATACAACCATTAAGTAAGCAATCGTGTTACCAGACCCAATTTTACAATCTTTTTTACCATGGTGGCTAAGTGATTCATGTGATTAGGTGCAGTCCTCAACTGCATGTTTCCAATTGATTTTGCTCGTCAGGAGCCTGCTGAGAAAATTGCAAATAGCAATTATGTGACCACAAGATGCTTCAACATCGTTGTAAACAGGAGCCAAGGACCTGAATTACAATCACATATTGTGTATATGTGTGTATACCCACATGCTCATCCAGCTGTTAAAACTATGAGGAAAGGTAATAAGTCACTTTTTCCAAAGCCATCATAACTTCAACTATCATTAAATGAACAGTCTTAGGTTGAGGAATATTTAGTTGAGGTAGAAAGCAGCAATTGGCTGACATATCAACTTTTGATCAGATTTTCAGGGAAAAGAGATTTATTTACCATATTCCTATGCCATCTTTTAGGGTCCAGCCCATTTCCAAGAGGCATATGACTTCATTTAAAATTCAGCACAGGTACTAATAAAACATAAAATCAATGGTATTCATTACTATTAATGAAAAATAGGAGAAAGCAAAAAGATGTTTAAAACTATTTTTAAAATTGATAAATAAGCCAAATAAATAAAAATCATATGAGAATTCTGTATAACAATATATAAAATAAATTATAAATGATAATCCTGCCAATAATGTTAATTTAGAAGGTGAGAAACTAAGGAGGACACTTGACCTAAAATGAATGTGACACAACAGAACTCTCTAGGCACCTGTGTCCTGAAATATAATTCAGTAGAATTATGTGATAATTGTTTCAGATATGGAAATATAAGATTGTTCCTTGCCTCTGGTCTCTGGGTCACCACTGCTATTAAAGAGAATGAAGGGACATTTAAATGCTCACCAAAATGTCATAGGTTATCAGGAGGATTTTTAAAAATCCTACCATCTACTGGCTTGTTGTATCCTCAGGTCAATTTTTGTGCTTCAAGATGATCTGAAACGAAGGATAGGGGCAGGAAAATCCTAAAAAGACAATATTGTCTGTATTAAAATAAATGCAAAGGGATTCTAAAACTCAACGACAACAAAACATCTACCTATTTTAGTACTATAAATAATAAACTCAAACCATCCAGAGCACAGGTGTCACGTGACATATCGGGACATTTTTCCCCTTCGCTAAACTGGGCGTGGCCCGCATGTGACTCATCCGGCCCATGAATTTGACAGCTCTGATCTAGAGAATGGTAGAGTCAACCCCTTGTCTGAATTTTGCATACAATATTAATCTACCGTATTTTTCGGAGTATAAGACGCACTGGTGTATAAGACACACCAAGATTTTGAAGAGGAAAATTAAAAAAAAAAGTTTTTGCTCTCAGCAGACCTCCCAAAAATGGCCTGTTTTCGTGAAAACGCCCCTATCTTTTCCCCCAAAAAGGGGCATGAATAGCCTTTAGAAGGCTTGTAGAGTGCTTCTGGGGGCTGGAGGGGAGGGGGCAAAATTGAGCAAAAAACGGCCCGTTTTTCACTCATTTCTGCCCCCCCAGCCCCCAGAAGCTCTCTGAAAGCCTCCTAAAGGCTATGCATGGCCATTTTGGTGAAGGGGGCAGGGTTGCAGGAGACAAAAAATGCTGTATTCAGTGTATAAGACGCACCCAGATTTTCAGCCTCTTTTTTGAGGGAAAAGGGTGCGTTTTATACTCTGAAAAATATGGTATATAAATTGCAGCACTTGTTCTGTGGGAAGCCCTATGGGCTTTCCAGCAGTTTATTGACTCATTGGAATTAGATCACTCATTTTCTGCTGCCAATGATAACAGAAAATCCGCAATCGCCAATAACTTGATAGGAAAAAGAAAAAGAAAATGAGGAGATATATATGTGAGTTACAATGAATAAAGAAATTCCAACCTATCTTCTAAAGCAGGGGAGCGAGACGATATTCCAGGGGGTACGAAACATGGGTTTAGAATTTCAAAATTATAGTGCATATGCATAATTGCATACAAATTATATGCATATAATTATATCTGGGATGCCAGAATATAACAGAAGCGTTCTAGGGGTACAGGGTATAGAAAAGGTTGGGAACTCCTGTTCTAAAGGTTCAACTGGATAATTGTTCCATTTATATTATTGCTGGGTCCACACTTCAAATTAATTATTGTATAATATGGTTCTTTTTGTTTTTGCAAACACATGTGCTATAATTTGTAAACTATTATTTATCAATTATGTGTGAATTAATGAATTATGAATTATCAATCAATGATTAAGCACATTATAATTAATGTAGTTTAGGAACTCACTATGTACTAGTGAGCATCACCAATGGCAGATTGCTTTATAAATATGAAAGTACAATTTATTATTGTACTTTTCATCAATTTGCAAATTGTCACTGTAAATAAAGTAATATGTAACATTTTTTTCTTACTACATTTCATTATTTTAACTATTTACAATCTTCTCAAAATGACACGTTTGTATATATTAGATTATGTGATTGATGAAGTGGACTGTTATGTCATAAAATTTTTGTCATAATAAATTAGTCCATTACCATAAATCTCTTTTATTTTCTATGATTCACTTATACATGCAAGTTATTGCTACTATACATGTAGATAGAGTAGAAAAAGAGTTTTGTTGTTCTATTTGAGAATATCACCAAGAAAAATCTTATATTTAAAAGTATCTATTAATACATTGCAGCTATGTTCTAGATTATGATATGTGGGCAACAGGATATTAGCTTCCACAGTACTGAATAGATTTGACAACTACTTTGTATAGAATAGGACAATGATGCTTCAGGTGAAATGGCTTTTCATTTGTGACAGATTGGTCAAAATGTGTTCAGAATTATCCTTATAATTAGCAGGAATGTTGCATGTGACACATACCACTAAGACTGGTAACTAGGTCTCACCTTCTCTATTTTATTGAAAGGCATGATGTGAAATCCTCAATGGATAAAATCAATTAGGGACATCAAATATATTTGAGCCAATCTGATAACAGTAATCACACACATAGAAGATTCAGTTTTGAAATAAAGGAGGAGTAAATAATAAAAGTAATGCTTGTGGCAACACCAGAGGAATATTAGGATGTGAATGAACATGCATTTCTGTAGACATTGGCAGGGTTGTTGGCTATTTGAATAATTTACAGTGACTTTTAGATAAGCATATTTATTACTTCTTGAACTGCTATCTTTATTTTGTATATTCCCATTCACCATTTGGCTGAACTATCAAAATGACATGCATTTTGGCTAAGATCATGTGTAGTATCTGCTCTTATCAGTTTATTATCTGATATGTCCTCTATTTGAGGACTAGTTATTAAGCCGCCCGGGGTCCTACGGGATTGGGCGGCATATAAATTTATTAAAAGTTAAAGTTAAAGTTTTAAACAATGCTTTTCATTGTCAATTCAGCATAAACATGGGCATAAATTTATCATGAAATAAAGTTGATTGCCAATTAAGGTAGGTGACCCAGGAAGAAAGCAACAGAAGAATATGAGACAGAAACTACATTTCAGTTATCAAGTAAAAGAAAAATATGTTTTCCATTATAATGCGCAAATAATTTATTTTCCCCATCATAACACCTTCTGGTATTGGTAGTGCTAAAAGTGGCTGATCATTGGGGAACTGATGCATTTCTGTTCTACATAGGACTCTTCCTCAACCGCAGATCTTTCAAATGAAGTGGGATAACTAATCAGAATTTCCAGGCAGCTGGCTAAGAATTTTGGAAACTAAGAAGCCAGAACCTTAATAGATCCCCAAGTTGAGCTCGGGACGAAATGAAGGGCAATGTGGCACGGGCAAGGGACAGGAGGTAATCTAGGCGGCTTTAGGTTAGTAAGGCCCTAAGAGAAGGGGGATCCATCCTCAAAGAGCACAACCTCCAAGTCTGATCACTGGACTTGGAACACGAGGCGGCCACGCCACTGCACCACGGGGCCTCCTGGGCCAAGCGATTTCTCCTTTCTGCATTGAAATAAAAGTTGGGTCGTCCCCATCTCCTCCCGAATTTGCAAATATGGTCACCCTGGAAGCGCATCCAGCCTTCCAACAGCCCCCGTCCCCATTTCGTTACCTTCTCAGCTATTCCATCCAGGAGGGCTTGTGCCTTCTCGCACTATTGGGAGGCCGCTACAAAGCAGGGGACCCGGGTAGAGGAAGCCAGGGAAGGCCGCCCGCAGCAGACTCGCCGCTTCGCCAGGAAACACGCAACGCGGCTAACGCGCCTCTGGGGGTTCCGCAGCACCCCGATCTCTCTTCACACAGTTCCGCTCGGGAAAGCGCTCCAATCCACGAACTACATCACCCAGCGTACCCCGCGACACCAAACTCCAGATTCGCCAAGCAATAAACCGCCTCGGAGAAAACCTGGAAGCCAGAAACAGGTTTTTCTTACTTTGAGCTCGCCAATCAGGGAAAGAAAGCACGTTGCACACTGGGGAAAAAAGCTTTCGGCTTAGGCGCAACTAATGATGGGAGGCATAGTTCTGGAGCCTAAATCAGAAAAGACGAGCTATTCGCTTTGCGCCCTTATCAATAGCCCACATCTTTAGCTACGCCCAATCACTATGTTGGTCTTCCATGAAAAAACCTCTCGCGTTGAATCGCTTTAGCTCCCCTACTTTTTCATCGACCGACAGACAACTGACTCACTTGGAATATGCCAGCGATGGATCACTTCTATTTAAATATCATGACTTGTCTAAAGGGATGCTGGGAATCGTAGTTCTGTAAAGCGCTCAAATGCAACGTCCACGTAAACTTTCCAGGAAGAAAGTACTGAATCAATGCAAACGTTAACCCATCCTATTATTTTCCTGGGATTTCACTCTCAATGTAGTTAACGTACAATTACAACCTAAAACTAATGTAAAACAAATTGGTGCCCGGACCTTTAGTCGGAAAATAAAGCAATGCAAGGCTGGGACAAATCTTCAATAAAGAAGCTTATAGTACTTCTGAGTATTATAAGATATATCCCTGCAGATACACTCCTGCTTCGTTAATTCCATATTAACAGAACAGGAGCCAACAGCATCGGCTAATTGTATTTAATTCCAATTTCTTATTTGCACAAAAATTCCCCAAAAGAGGCAAATGCTACAGTGAATATAGGCCTTTTCCTATATAAAAATCAGAAATGAACAAAAATGTAGCACATAACTAAAGATGCCATTCTCTATCTCTCCCTCCCTCCCTCCACAGACATACGCGCGTGCACACACACTTTAGACTGGGCAAAATATACCCCATCACACTCAGCTGGACTAGGATTTCCAAGTCTATTAAATAAAATGCATTCACCAAAAGTGAGAGGATAAGTGGTTCAGTGTAATCAGGAATGCAGTAAACTCTTGGTATATTTTAATATTGACTAAATTATAATTAAAAGTCCAAAGATCTCTCTATCAGTTGGGAAATTACATTTTCTATATATGTTATCATAATTATATTCAAGTTATATTTAAATTTGGATCCCAATTAAATTAGGCTAGTTATTGATGAGGTGGAGATCCTGCTGGATGTAGCCTGTTTGCATTTTCTCATAGGATTCTTCATTTTCTGTGACATATCTAGAGCCAACAACTGGTAATATTATTCAGTCTATAGGGAAAGTTGGATTCTGAAAAAGCAGGATAGGAAGGGTACCAAAACTCTTCTGATATTGGAGAAGACTCCCTAGAATACCATGGACAGCCAAGAAAACAAACAGATCACTGAATATATCAACCCATTATTACTGAAAGCACAAACGACCCAGCTTAAATTATTATCCTACTTTGGATGTATTATGCAAAGACCTAGCCCTCTAGAAAAGGCTGTAATGCAGTTTTTTAAATTTATTTTTTAAATTGAAAACAGTATTCTAGTTATAAATAAAGGTACCTTTAAGCGTCATCCTTCTCAAATAATGAGTCTATTGGCACAGTTTAAGACTGGACTCTGGGATTTGTTCAAAAGGAGAAATAAAGCTATGCAAACGTTTCCAAATTACTTATACATTTGTTACCTTGATATACCATCTTTCCTTCAAGACCTTTGAGAAGCATCGTGTTCCCTCCAATATTTCCCCACAACAACACCGTGAATTAGGCTAGCAGAGCAAGAGCAATTCACCCCGAATCGCGCAGTGAGCTTTGCGGTTGCACCACGCTGGCTGTCATTAGGGAGCCTTCACTTCCACAAAGGCTTTAGATTACCCTGCCTAGTCGTTTCCAATCCATTTGCAGCTTGTAGTGAACCCACCATTGCCTTTGTTTCCCCCAACTGACGGTCTGCACCAGTGCAGAAACCCAGGCGAAGCTGACTTTTGTGTGCTCCAATCACCCAGTTAAATATGGCGTGTTCAGAAATCCTGTATATTAAGCAAGCCATAAAGGTAAAGGTTCCCTTCGCACATATGTGCTAGTCGTTCCCGACTCTAGGGAGCGGTGCTCATCTCCGTTTCAAAGCCGAAGACGTCTCCGTGGTCAAGTTTTATTGTCATTTCAACAATATATATTACAGTACACAGTGAAACGAAAGTTTCCCCAGGACCAAGGTGCTACGTCAGACAAAGCAGGACACAGAGCTACATATAGCTCTAAATCTAAGAACTTAAAGAGAGAGAAAATATGCAAGCTAAAAAAAAATACAGAAGCTAAAACACAAAAAATACACAAGCTAAATACATAAGTATTTATGGTTCCAGTTTCTTTGCGTTGACGAGTCTGATAGCTTGTGGAAAGAAACTGTTACACAGTCTGTTTGTGCGGTCCCGAATGCTTCTGTACCTTTTTCCAGATGGCAGGAGAGTAAAAAGCCTGTATGAGGGTGTGTGTATGTGGTCAGCCACAATGTTTCTGGCTTTATGAATGCAGCGTGTGGTGTATATGTCCATGACAGAGGAAAGAACAATCCTGATGTCGTCCTCACTATTTGCTGTAGGGTCTTGCAATTCGAAATGGTGCAATTCCCAAACCAGGTGGTAATGCAGCTGCTCAGGGGGCTCTTGATGGTCGCTCTGTAGAAGGTGGTGAGGATGTGTGGTGGAAGCTGTGCCTTCCTCAGTTTCCTAAGTGAAGACACTGCTGGGCCTTCCTTGTTATGGAACCGGTGTTAAGGGACCAGGTGATATTCTTCGCCAGGTGAACACCAAGGAATTTGGTGCTCTCTACGATCTCCACGGATGAGTCATTGATGTTCAGCGGGGAGCATGGTCACATGGCCGCCATAAGCAAGCCATAGGTTCATATTATGTAAGAATAAAACTATTTCTAGCTGTTTAAACAACATAGCAAACAGCAAACAAACCAGCGAAAACTAATAATAGCATTGTCGATCTTCAGATGTCATCAAAGCGGTTCATTAACCATGGGGGGAGGGGGAACACACCCTCCCAAATCGATTAGAGACGAATTAAAGCTTTAAGTCGCAGCCTAAAACGCACTTGGGCGATTGGAAGATGGTGAAACCGGGCTTTTTAAGACAGACATTTCCTACATCCAATAAGAACGCCCAATAGACGGTATCCGTTGGTGGGCAAGGCGGTACTTCGGCTCGGCAATGGCCACGTGCGCCTGCTGCGCCTGCGCAACTTCTTTTTCTGGGCGTCCGCGAGAGAGGCGACACCATGAAGGCGTCGGGTACGGTGAGTGCTTCGCGTGGGGCCTTGCTGGGGCTCTGGTGCGGGGAGGCCTCCGCTGCTGCGTAGCCGAAGAAAGGCGAGCGAGGCGAAGAACGGTAGCAAGGCAGAGAAGGAATCTCCGTTCGGGAGCCTATTGACAGTCGTCTTTTTCCTCTGCCACGAGCACCCAATATGGCCGTCTCCCCTGCGCTAGGTCTCGTCGCGTGGGCCCAGGCCGCCTGCTCGAGTCGGCGGATTCAACTCGCAACGTCTTTACCGAACCCTCGATGCAATGTAGTAGAACGAGATTAGTTGGGAAGAAAATGAAGTTGTAGCCATCCTACTCCTATCATTCTTAGGTTCTTTTCGCTCTAGTCCACGTATATCGGTTTCCAAGTTTGAACTCGATGAGGTTACAAATAGATAGTAGGTCCTCTACCTCTGTAATTATTGTTTTTAAAAATCTTTGTAGCTCAATTTACAGAGCACTCGGGAAGCGTGGGTTTTGTTTGATTTAGTAAAGCAGCTAAATAACACCTTTTTCTTATAGTAAGTGCATCTCTTGATCAAGTTTGATTCTAAAACGAGAATGGATTTTTATTAATATTTCTTTCTCCTCTTTCTTTTAAGCTGAGGGAGTATAAAGTTATTGGGAGATGCCTTCCTACTCCCAAATGTCCAACACCACCTCTCTATCGGATGCGCATCTTTGCTCCCAACCATGTGGTTGCAAAATCCCGTTTCTGGTATTTTGTCTCGCAGCTGAAGAAGATGAAAAAATCTTCTGGGGAAATTGTATACTGTGGACAGGTATTATAATAGGAAATGGAATAGATTTAAATATTGAAAGCATACTTTCTAATACAGCTTATCACTAATACTTATAAGTACCTATACTCATTGGATTAAAATGGTTTTCTCAAAAAGTTTGCCTTAAACTTTACATTATTGGTACCATCATGATGTATAAAATTCTTAAATTACTTTACCCTGTTTCATTTCATGACTGTTGATGAAATGAATGACACGTTTATGTCCAGCATGTGGAGGCACCTAGTTGATCATTACTTTGGATAGAATACTAGAGAAGAAAACCAGTCCTGGCTTCTTCAGAGAGCTACTGGTTCATTCTGTGTAGTGCCTGTGCTAATGAAGAATTGAGGATGCCTTCCAGAGGTCAATAAATATGTTTATAGAGATAAATCTGTCCTCAGCAGCAGACCATGAAATAGGTGAAGTAGTAATAAATGGAACCAATTTTGTGTCTGCTGAATTCAAAGCACTTTGGGTGGGCAAAGAATCATAGTACAATGCATAAAGATAAAGATTTCAGTTTGTTTCAGGATTAAATTAATGTAATCTTGGGTATGTTTTTTTTACCCTGTCTAGTCAGATTCAGAGAAATGTAATGTAATCTGTGGAAATTGGATTACAGCTTTAAGATGTTCGTTCTAATTCATTGTAGACTTGACATGCTAATTAAAACAACACTGATTAGTTTTCTGTTGTTTTATCATTGGTATTTTTATACTGTTAGGTTTTTGAGAAGTCTCCTCTGAAGGTGAAAAATTTTGGTATCTGGCTGCGCTATGATTCTCGTAGTGGAACTCACAATATGTACAGGGAGTACAGAGATTTAACAACTGCTGGAGCTGTTACACAGTGCTGTAAGTAGAGGCCATTTCAGTATTCATCTTAAGATATCGCTATCATAAAAGAAAATAAGTGTTGCAGAATTGGTATTCCTCAGTGTTGGTTTTACAATAATGTTCCTGTTACTTTGACTACTAGCTAATGTATTCTGTCTTTTTACTGAGAAGATAGTAAATAATGGGTTTTTTGGGGATGCCTTTAAATCAGTTTTGACTCCTGACAACTGCCTGGATAAATCCAAGCAGTTTTCCTGGAAAGATTTCAGAAGTGGGTTGCCATTGTCCCCTTCCTAGGATTGAGGAAAAATGACTCGCCTGAGATCACCCAGTTGGCTTTTGTGGGATTTCTGCTCTTTAGCCTGCAGCTTTAACCACTACATAAAGCTGGCTCTCAAATGGTAATATAGGTAATCCTTGACTTACGACCACAATCAGGCCCAAAATTTATGTTGCTGAGTGAGACAGTTGCCGTGAAATTTTCCCCATTTTACCACTTTTTTCCAGTTGTTAAATGAATCACTGCAGTTAAGTTAGTAACATGGTTGCTAAGTGAATCTGGTTTCCCATTGAATTTGCTTGTCAGGAAGTCACAAAAATGATTACCCCCCCCCCCCCCAAAACCTGTAATGTAACCATCATAAATATGAGTCAGTTGCCAAGTGTCTGAATTTTGATCACATGATTATGGGGATGCTGCAATGGACGTAAGTGTAAAAAATGGTCATCAAGGACTATCTGCACTGAATGTTAAAATGAATTGTTGAAATGTGTTACATATTGCAACTTGGTAGAGTCGTATCTCATATTACGATTAGCTATGACTTATAGGTTATTTTACACAGTGCCATTTAGACAACTTTAGTTTGATTATTGACTAAGCTATCTGACATTTATTTTAAATCCAAATTGTCTATCAATTCAAGGCCATTTGAGTGTGTCCCAAAAGGCCTTTATTGTTATTAGACAATTTATTGCCAAAGTAAAAAAAGTTGAAAAAATAATTTGGACAATATGCAAGAAATTTGGTATAGATACTTGGAGTATGCTATATTATTCCATCAGTAACTTCAAACTTTAATGTTAGATAAGTTTCTAATATCCAAAACATTCATTTAGTTCAGAAAAAGTCTTTATTGGCCTAGTTGAGTTAGTCAAAGGATGCTTTAAAAAGGTCCCCTTCTTAAGTTTAAGTTTAATAACATTGTATGCCGCCCAATCCCGTAGGACTCCGGGCGGCTTACAATACAAAATAAATAAAAAAAGAATAGAAGAAAAGAAAATATAGATTTAAAAGACACACCATACACTCCATTCTAAGTGGGGCTGGACCGTATTTTGCGGTCAACAGCCCCAAGCCTGCCGGAACAGCCCGGTTTTAGTGGCTTTACGGATGGCCGAGAGAGTGGGAAGGGTCCGGATCTCTGCGGGTAGATCATTCCACAGGGCCGGGGCAGCNGTTAAAACACAGAAAATACAACAATAATGAGATTTTAAAAAGTGGGTACAGACATCAAACAGGCACACCATTCACACCACATTCATAAAATTTGCAGAGCACTGCGCTAGTGCGGTTTAAGATAGTCAATGGTGCGGAAGGAGGAGGGAGAGCTGCTCCGCCCCTCTCACTTCCTCCAAGTCCCAGAAAGGCACCCAAGGCCAAAGGTCCAAAGTCTGTGAAGACTAACTTCTCTTCTCCTATAAGCCCGGCCCAGAGGTCCACAGATATCAAATAGTCGGGATAAATCAAGATGAAAAGGGGAGGGTTCGAAAGTCCTTAACAAGTGTGTAAATCTTCTCATGTGCCGCAAACACCTCCAAATGAATACAGTCCGTAGCGTCGTAATAAAAAGACTCAGATGGAATAGAAAGGTGCTATCCAAGTTGGTAGTCCAGGGGTCGTAGTGGGGGGTAATAAAGATGACTATGTTGGTAATCCACGGGCCGTGGAAGATAATGAAGATGGCAATAATTAGGGTTAAGAGACCAAGTCCAAAAGCCCTAAACATGTAGTTAAGGACAGTCTGATGGTCAGAGTCCAGGAAGGCAGGAGACCAATGTTGAAATAAAAAGCAGCATTGGGGGAAAAGGCAGCGTTGGGAAGAAATACAGTGTTGATGGAGGAAAATATATTGTTGGAGGGAGCAAGGTTGGTAGAAGAGGCAGCGTTGATGTAGAAGACAGTGTTGGTAGAGGAAACAGCGCTGTTGGAAAAGGTAACATCGGCGAAGAAACTGCGCCAGATATGGAGGGGAGCATCCAGAAGAGCTACAGCCACGGCGTACTCAGCCAGTCGCCCGATTCACCCCTTCCTAGCAAAAGCCTTGTTCAAACTCCCCTATTCTAAAAGATGGCAAAATTCGACCAACACAGTCACTGCAGGCTCACCAGATTGTAGAGAATGGGTGAGAAGGGTCAGAAAACCCCCCAGCCGCTGGAGCCGCCACAAAACGCTCTCAAATGCCTCCGTTGCTGCTACAGGGCCGCCATTCCCGCCGCCAAGGATGCCAAACCGCACTAGAAATTCCGGAGTCCTAGGCTGGAGGGAGGCAACAACCCCCCTCAATCCTCGGTTCATACAACTCCCTCGAAACTCCGACATCCTGGGGGGCCTCAGCGAGGGTGATAAGAAGCCGACTTCAGGGGTTCCCTGCGTTCTTTTGTTCGATCGACTTAGGACGGAGAAGCCCTGGCCACCATTCTGTTCTTCGCACATGTGCAGATCCCTGCAGATTGCTCCATTTGCTAGAGCAGCGGTCACCAACTGGTGGTACATGGACCACTGGTAGTCCACAAGAAAATGTGGGTGGTCAAAAGCTTCCATGACAGGATTGGAATCCAACACTCGTTGTTCTATCCTCTCCACAGTTATACTGCCTTCCGGGATGTCTTAACCCCTTTCCCCATAAGCTGCACAAATAGAAATCCACAGACCATAGTTATTTCAAGCTAGAGGTATTTAAACAAGATGAAACAAAACCTTTGACCCTCATTGTATGGCTGCAATCAAAGTTGTTGACATTTCTTTATAAGATAGACCAGAAGAAAAAACAGTAAGGTTTTAATCAACCAGCTTATTTGTCTAAAATGATAGAGAATAAAACTTATACAAAAGCTGCTATAATTTATGGATTGGATAGGAAGCCTCTGTACATAGTAATTGGAGTGTTTTTGTTGATGCAGTTTTATCAGTGTTGTGCTTCTTATATTTGGATATTTATTAAATTTCTGTAAAATAAATTGTTTGAACAGAGACTGATTATACTGAATGAAATAGGGTGATTTTCCTTCTATGCTGATTGGATCATGCAATGTTTCAGATTTATGTTTATTTATTTTATTTATATTTCACACTTCTGAATATGGTGATTTTCCTCCCCTGGTGATTGGATCATGTGATGTCTCAGTTTTATGTTTATTTTATTTTATTTTATTTTATTTATATTTTACGCTTCTTAACCACCCATCTCCCTCAGAGTGGGGCTCTGAGTTTTCCCAATAGTTTTGCCAATTGCCAGTTCTTTTTTGCAGAATGTACTGCAAGTGGATTCTTAGTTTTATGAAACTAAACTCTAACAAGTGTCGGTTTAGATTGGCCATCTTTCTGTAAAGTGTCTTTTCTTGTCTTTGCTTTAGGAGGAATGCCAAAACTATGTTCGTGTTCTCATTGTTTATGGGAAGAAGGTTTTCACTTGTGGCACAAATGCTTTTTCACCAGTATGTTCCAGCAGACAGGTAAATTGTACCCTTCCCTTTTCAGGATGTGCCAGAGAATAAGAGTGGAAGTATGATAAAGGATGCCCTGTTTATTATAAATCACGCTAGAGAACGAGATACGACGTTAGTGTTGCATTAATTGAATTTAATATGTGCAACTGTAAGAGAGGACAAGGAAAAAGTAATAACAAAGGACAGCATATGTTACAATACCAAGAGGACTAGTTGCAATTATTGACTAGTTGTAATTAATTAAAAAATTGTAAATAGTCCAGGTTTGTAATTGGATTATTCAGGTGCCAGCCTCCTGCAGTGTATCTTTTTTGCAATATAAGCAGATGGGTCAGTTCTACTTGCTACTAAAAATTACATTTGTATTCATTAGTTTATCATATCTGCACTGCTGTATAGAGCTACTTGGGAGATGCTCTGGAAAACTACTGTTGGTCCAAAATACTCCAGACAAATATTTAAAGCAAATAAAAAACTAAATTCAAAATGTAGGATTTCATAAAAGAAATACGTAATTCTGTTGCTGGAACTTGCTTCAAGTTGCTTCTGGGTTAAATCCAGAGCTCTTTGATAGTCAGTAAGGCCCTTCCTCTGTGTGTCCCAGGATTCCCAGAAGCAGCCTTGCATACTTGGAATAATTGAGTGTATCTCCAGGAGTAGAACTTTCTTCAGAGCCCTGCCTAAGGGACACACATCTTTTCCCTGTTTCAATGGAATTTCAGGGGTTAGCTAAAATCTTTCATATGAAATAATGAACTTCAGCTTCAATGTATGAATGAAGAATGGAAATGGGTGAACTATACAGTCTTTTAGATGAGAACTTAGATGAGAAGAATGCATTGAACCATTTTAAGAAGATGATGGTATGACCCTGCAATTTAGATAGATCCAGGGACCGGCATAGATAGTTGAGAACCAGAAATAGCAATGGAATAGATGTTTTTAGGACAATAATATTTGCCTGAGAATCCTTATAAAAGAGATGGGGAATCTTGGACTTTCTAGATATTACTGAACTACAATGTTTTGTTACTTCACCCAAAATTGCTAATAATGGATGGCGCTGGAAATCGTTCAGTAACATCTGGAGGACTATTTTCCCAACCATGTCCCTTAGCTCCTAGTTGTGCATGTATTAAAAATAAATATATAATTAACTCTATGAAAAGACACAGATGCAGTGTCCTATACCATGGGAAATCATTAAAATCCTTTTCTCATAGTTCTTGTCCTCAGTGCATTTAGCATCTTCCAGAGTTATAGTAAAGTGGGATTTTACACATGTTTTGTTTGGTCATCTGCGGATTGTTTTTTTTTTTTTTTTTTTTTTTTTTGTCACTAGCCTCATTGTTTTATCTTCCGACTTTTTTTTTTTTTTTGAAATACAGGTAGGAAATCTTAGCAAAATAATTGAAAAAATAAATGGGGTAGCTCGCTGCCCTTACGACCCTCGGCACAACTCAACAGCTGTAATCACATCCCAGGGAGAACTGTATGCTGCAACAGTCATTGACTTTTCTGGACGGGATCCAGCCATTTATCGCAGCCTTGGAAACATCCCACCTCTTAGAACAGCACAGTACAACTCTAAATGGCTTAACGGTAAGAACTCTTGGGGTAGTGAAGAGCATTTATTTCAACTGGACAGTCTTAGAAAACTGTATTATTTCTCTTATCTCATAAAAATCCTGCCTGAATAGAGTAAAAAGGAGCTTGCTCCCAGATTGAACTTCACTAGCAGTGATAAAATGAAAGACCAATAAAAATGCAGAAACAAAACTGATAGAGTGTAGGCCTTTATCTTTTCTTATTCTGAAAACTGATGCACAGGGCAGATTCTGCCAGATATTCCATTTGTGTTCTTATTGTCTACAGCTGCATAAACACGTCTACCATATCTCTTATATCCTACTATGTCGTAAAACAAATCATGCATATTTAAAAGCTTGGTAGCCCATGAAACCTATGTTTCTTGCACCAGAATGTCAGAACATCCAGGTTTACCCTTCTATTATGCAGAGATAAGCGGCGGCAAGAGCTTTCACTCCAGCCTGTTGGGTTCTTTGTCTTTTAGAAATACAGGATTCCTTAGTTGTAAATCTATTCAAACAGAGATTTCACCATTATCTCTTTTTTTTCCAGGGTACCATATTTAGTTTCTGAGGCCACATTTCAAGTAACAGTGCTTCAGACAGTAATAGGATTAAAATAATTTAACAATGGTTTCTCTGCCCTAATGACTGTGGGCATGGCCAATTCAAGATGACTCATTACATCCAGCCCTGCCTCCCGGCCATTCACTTCAAAGGCCTCAACAAGATACAATTTGCCTCTCTATTTATTTACTACTACTGAACATCCAAAGTACACTATTTAATCCTATGTATATATGCCATATGTGTACATACATAATATAGAGTGTGTAAAAAGATACATTAAGTATTATATATACTGTATGTGTATGTACAAACACAAACACAGAGCTCTTATAAAACTATACACATACACTAACACTAACCCTCACACACCCAGAGTCCACACTCTGCCATACATTGAACTATAACTTCTGTACATTAGAACATTACACGTTTTCAGATTTACTTCCCTAGCCTGCACATGACCATTAGAGCTAGGAGATGTCATGAGCATTGCCAGGGAATTCTGGGCAATGAAGGAGGTATCAGCTGGCTGTGACAGTGGGCAACCAAAAGCACATGGCTGGGGCCTACACAGCCACCCTCACCTTCCCCTTAATGAAGCCGATATTCGCAATGTACTAGCAGAACGACTGGTAACACATGTTGAGGCCATAGTTGCCGTCCATGCCAGTTGGAGGATACATAGCTCTGGGAGGAAGAGAGGCCGGCTGAACTGGACCCAGGAACTTCCTGGCTCCCCTCATCCCAGAAGCACCAACCTCACACTCTCCCCTCTCTGCTAGGAGGTAGGGGACCAAGCAGCAGTGGCTCAACCTGGCTCATCTTCCTCTCTGCTACCAGCTGCGGCAGGAAGAGAAGGGCAGGCAGGGATCGGGAGGACACAGCCAGTTGGGAAATCCAAACCACTATCTAGCCAGGAACCGTCAGTGGGGGTGGGTGAGGTGAGGCGGGGCCTATGGGACACACCTAGCTTTAAGTTCACAGACCTTTCTTTCTAAAACTGCCCAAAAGAGGGAGGGTAGGAAGTCCCCCACCCGGCCCCTTTGGCTCTCTCCATTACAGCAACTTACCAGGCAAGCGGCAAAGGCAGGCGAAAGCAGGCAAGTGTAGAAGGAGCTGGAGAGCATCTGGGATGTGGTGCTGAATGGTAGGCAGGCAAACGGGGAAAGAGCTGGAGAGCAGCTGGGGCAAAGGCAGGTACGCAGGGAAGGAAAAATGAAAAATGGGGCAAAAAATGGCCTGAACAAAGGGCCATAAAACAGCCCCAGAAGGGACCAAAAATGGACTAAAAAACCCAGCAAGGCAAGCGAGTGGTCAGAGCATATAAGGTGAGAAAAAGAGGCTGTAAGAGTTGGGGTAGGCGCGTCAGGGCTAGCCAGTGGTAGGATTAGCCAGTTCACTGAACTGCACAAAATCTTAACAACCGATTCGCCCGAACCGGCTGAATCCCATCCCTGGCTTCAGACTAGTACAAGCATGAAAACCGATCACCTTTTATTTTAGTTATTTATTTACTACAATTAATTTCAAGCCATATCTTTCAGAATGTTATTTTCACATTAAAAATTAAAATTTGGTCACACAGTAATATCTAAAGCTTTCAAGAGTTACATCCAATAATTGGGGAAGTGCAGTGAATCTCTAGGGCATCTATACTGAAGCCACAAAGCACTGGCTTTGGTATACTTTTCCCTATAGTGAATCTGATAACTGAAGCTCCTATGCTGTACAGCTTGGCATTTTCATGTTATGATAAGTCCCAAAGGCTTGTTTTTTGGTTTGTACCCAATCCCACCTTCATCGCCAGTGTTAGATTCTCAGAAAGAATCAGGTGGGAGGCGTCTGAGGAAACCGTAAGTCAACGTTTATTACAGGCAATGCAATACAAAGAAGTAGACCAGCACCCTCTCCCTGTCTGACAGCTATTTATATAGAGCTGTCAGACAGGAGAACCAATAGCCGCGCGTATGACAGCCCGGCAACTTGCAGGTCGCGCCTGATTGGCTAAGGCGCGCCTGGCTGTTGCCAAGCTGTCATTCGTAAGTCCGAGGACTTACTCAGGACTCAACAATGGCTACATTATAACTTGTTTACCAAAACCTCTTAGTTTTTGCTCATATAGATAGACCTTATCCAGAATAATCTGTTTTGGCCCTTCAGGTTGGCCTTTTAAGTCTCTCAATGATTTCCTCCATTGCTGCTGAACCAAGTCTTTTCACCTTGTTAATAGTTGTCCTTTTCTCTTTTATTCAACCTTTCTTAGCATTATTGACTGCTCAAGGGAGCTAGCTTTTCCCATAATGTGGAGCCTTTAATGCTTGATAGTTTCCTTGAAGACATTTCATTATGCAATTCGGTACTATCATCAGTGCTTGCAGATGTGAGGTTAATTCGTTGTTTATATACAGTAGTTTGCCTACCAGTGTTGGTGAGGAAGTGGTTTCTTCCCTAGCAGTTCCTTGATTAGGATATTGTTTTCTGCTCAATTGTTTCTCCGGTATTAATCACTGCTTATCTAGGTACAAGCTGCTGGAGAAGATGTATTCTGATCTTTTTGTTTCCTTCTTATTTTTATTGTCTCTTTTTAATAGTGTATAAATATGTGTGTCAATTGATAGTTGGTTTGTCTAAATGCAAGCTTCTAGGAATTCCCTAGAGTTTTATTTATTTAGTTTGGTCTAGAAGACTCAGTTTCACAGCAGTTTGATAGAAGGGACCTGGAATATGCTCTCACTACTCGATCTGGTAGAGCTAAAATCTTCCATTAAAACCTAGCTGCTCCAGATTTTAGTGGAAGCAATACCCTCCCAGTGATTTTACATGGCTATATGGCAAAGCTAGTACATGTCACCTTCTTTCTCCATCCCTTTTGAAATAAGGAAATCTGTTCTCCATAATTCCACAGTTGGCTCCTCTGCATGGCATAGACATTTGTCATGTAACCCTAATTTAAAATATTGTTTATATCCTAAAGGTTGCATGTTGACTCAGCTTTTAAAAGTTTTAGCCCTCTTTTCCTGAAGACATCTTAAATTTAACATTAAGCCTTTTGTATTAGATATTAAGTTTACATAATATCAGGGATGCTTCTTTCATTGTTATATGATGTCAATATGTGAAATCTTTCAAGCATTGTTAATGTATAGTATAACCTTTATTGCTATTGTACAAAATAAATACAATGAAATTGGTTATGAAAATGTGCATGCACAATTGGTTAACTTTTTTATGTTTCTCATTAAAATTGGGGACATTGTACTTTAAATATGGATGAGAACATTGAGAAAGGGTATCTTTGTAAGGAAAGCTTCCCGTTGGAAGAGCGAGTGCGTTCAGAAAAGCTTTGTGAGAGTGTTGTTGGAGAACACACAAACCAGCATACAGAGACACTGCAGTTTNTATTACACTTTTCATTTCTAGAACTTGTTGATTCTCCTCTAATTAAGCTTGCTCAGCTTATATGGCAGAGTCATAAATCATTACTAGTTTTGAAATTTTTTAACTGCATACAAACCCAAAGAGCATTGTTTATAATAAAATGTTCTTGTCATGTGTGCAGATATTAAATGTTTCTTGTCGCCTTTCAAGAGCTGAAGTGTTTTTGAAAGTGAAATTGAAGATTCTACAATAAATAACTGTTCTTATATGGAGATTACTGTAAGAGTATTTAGATCAGAACTAATTCTATTGCTAAAACGTATAATTCAACCGATGAATTGCAGATCGTGATATGGGAGCACGTCATAGAGCCCGTGCTCATTCTATTCAAATCATGAAGGTTGAAGAGATTGCTGCTAGCAAATGCCGCAGACCTGCTGTCAAACAGTTCCATGTAAGTAAAGCAAATTTTAAGTATTTATGTTCTCAAACTCTACAATTTGGAAATTTTTCTACTTTAAATGAAACTCTTCATAATTCTGGTCAATGACTATAAGAAGGTTGATTGAACACACACACACACATATGAAGTTCCTCCATTAAGTTAAGTCACAGACTGTTCAGGTAACTACAGAACAAATGGGTCACATCTTTCAGCTCAAATTACTGCAAGTTTGTTGGAAAAAAGCTGAAGAATACTTTGTGCACCAATTTGATCTAGAGAAAATGAGATGTTAAGCTAACAAACACATAACTGAAAATGCTAATATGTCAGAGTTCTAATATGTAGTATTTTTAAAAAAAACAATTTTCCAAAATCAGTTTCTTAGCATTATATGCTTGCTTTTAAAAGTATATAATCACTTGCCTTGTTTAATTTTTTTTTATATATAATTGTGCTCTAAGAAATCCATCCTTTATTTTGCACAGAATAAATAATCACTTGGTACTAACACTAGAAATGTGTGTGCTTTCACTAGAAAGTGTTGTTCTTAAAATTTTCTGAATAGTACCCAAACTGATGAAATTTTATTTGGGCTTCTAATGAAATTTATCTCTTTCTACAGGATTCTAAAATTAAATTCCCTTTGCCACACAGAGTGTTGCGCCGCCAGCATAAGCCTCGCTTTACTACCAAGAGACCAAATACATTCTTCTAAATGTAGGCTTGATTGATATGTTCCATGTATCAATAAAGTTTTTTGAACATTTGATTGTATTTTAAACCATATTTATCCTACTCTTATTTATGTGGCTCTTCATCAGTGTGACTCTGAATGGCAACAGTTTTAAACATTTCAAACGTTTAACAATGAGCATTAACTAGCAACCAAGACAAATATCAACACAACAGGTGTACAGGCTCCAAATCCAATCTTTCCAGCCCTTGCAAAGGCCAACAGATTTAAGGCCAATCTGAATTATGTTCCACAAAGCAGATGCCATAACACAAAAGTCTCTTCCTGGCATTTGCCAGATGAACTAATTGACAAAATCCATATACATGATGGGACAAGTGGACATAATCAAGTAGAGGTGGTTCTGACTTTTGCAAATAAAATGCATCCAAAATTCAATATTCTGATATATCACCTTGGAATGATGTATTCTGGACCCAGCTCTACTATACCCTAATTATGCAGAAGGCTGAGGTGGTAAGAATTTTAGATCTTGCATAATGTTCACAGAGCATGTTTATTCACATCAATTTTCATAAGCAATTTCAATTTTATAAAAGCAAAACTTAATTTCTGTCTGGCAACCTGCTAAGTAAAGAGGCAGAAAACTCAATGTTCAATTGAACAATACATTTTCTCAAAAATAGTACTACAGTTGGAAGAAATATCTACTTGGCTCAGTTTCAAGTGGGGAGAAAGTCTGGAAATGTGGTTGGTTGGAAAGATGGTTTATTGATGGGTTTTGAGGTCCTGGGCAGCTGATCACATCGGGTGGAGAGGTATTTATACCCTCTCTTGGGCTTTAAACTTGAGCTTCCTGTTCCTGTGCAAGAACATGTACTCTATTGTCTGCTGTCACTCCCATGTGGCTATGCAGGGGTCATAGCTGAGGTCCGATAAGTTTGGTTGAACCTTGCTGGGTGATTCCTGGTCCTTAGGAAATTTTGAAATGCAGTGAGCTATGCTGCTAGATGGGTAGAGGGCTAATCCTATTATGTTTTGAGGGCTTATGTCTTAATCCATTACCCTGGAGCTAGAGGTCTTGTAGATAGGCTGGCTCAGTCATAATGCACACCAAAATATCTGCTGGGGGCAGGGAGCTGGGGTTCTATTTCCTTTTAAGATTTTTATTTCTCTTAGGGGAAATATTTTATCCTGCCTTTTAAACATTTCCTAAAATATTTCATTCTAGGAGGGGTTGGTGCTACACTACCTGTTTTAGAATTAAACATGCCTCAATACAGAAATCATAAGACGTGGAAAATACATCAGAGATCATGTAATGGACCCTCTTCATTGGGAAAATCCATTGCAGCATTGCAATTGTATTCTAAAAATAGCCCATTTACACAGAAAGCAAATAAGATATAGCCCAGAAAAAACTTCGTTGATGTCACTTTTCTTTCAGGTATACTTTTCTTTCAGTCTTGTTCTGGAAATAGATCCTCCATGTCCTGAGGTCCAGAATTTACAAAAAGTAAGCATAATCATGTATCCAAACTGAATGGCACTAGACTTACATACTGCTTCACGGGGCTTTACTGATCATATTGCCCCCAACAATCTGGATCCTCATTTTACGGATCTCGGAAGGATGGAAGGCTGAGTCAACTTTGAGAGCAATTGTTGGCAGTCAGCAGAATGCGTTGTATCCCCAGCGCGGCTCTTCCAAATAGAGGGGAAAGATCTACAGCTCTCATCCAAACTTCATACTTTTCCTTTGCATCTAAGATGACTAGACCTCGATTACTAATTAAGATCATGGGGGTGAACTTAATTTGGGTTAGCATCTATTACGAAAGCGCTGAAAAAAACTTCAGCAAGAAAAAGCTGGTTAGGTACTGAAACAGTCAATCTGTGTTGGATTTTAAAGGTCTTCGCTGAGCGGCCTTTTTCAGCGTTTCCCTAAGAAGTGCTAACCCCGAGTTAAGCTCAGCTCTGTGGCCTTAATTGATTGATTCGTACTTTCTCGCAGATTGTTGTTACTGTGTGAGATGGACGAGACCTTAATCCAGTGGTCTCCAACCTTGGCAACTTTAAGACCTGTGGACTTCAACTCCCAGAGTTCCTCAGCCAGCTAGGAGTTGAAGTCCACAGGTTTTAAAGTTGCCAAGGTTGGAGACCACTGCGGAAGAACGTTTTCCGCCTAACCAATCACAGAATCTGTTCTCCGCCGCTTCCACAGGCAACTCGTCGCCACGCCCTTCCCGTCCTCGAGAAATCACGTGAGGCCGAGCCTTTGGAAACCGCCTCTCCGGAATGGCTCACGCCTGTTATGGCCTCGCCCCTCGCTCACGTGACTCCCCTTCCTTGGGCCAAACGGGGCTTTGGTTTGGCGCAAAGGCCGACGAGCGGAGGCAGCCGCGATCGTGGCGGCGGCGGCGAATGGGGGAGCCGATGCCCGTGGGAGCGCCAGTCCCGGTGGAGCAGGCGGTGCTGGAGACGTTCTTCTCCCATTTGGGCATCTTCTCTTACGACAAGGCGAAGGACAATGTGGAGAAGGAGCGCGAAGCCAATAAGAACGCCGGGAGCAGCTGGCTGTCGCTCCTGGCCGGCCTGGCACATTTGGCGGCGGCTGAAAAAGCGTACCACAGCATGACCTTCCTGGGCCAGAAGCTAGGTACCCACCCACGCTTGGGCTGCTGCTGCTGCTGCTGCTGCTGCCAGGCGCTGCATCCCACCTTCTCCGTCCTGCTTTGGGGCCACTCGCCTGGGGAGGAGTCCTGGGCAGGGCTAGAGGAGGAGGAGGGCGGCGAAGGGCTGGGGCTGGGGAAGAAACCCGTCCGTCCTCTGCCGAGCCCCGCTCAAGGCTTGCCGAAAGTCAGTGCTGGGGAGGCTTCAATCTCGACTTTTCTTACAGAACTGATTCAGTTTTCCACATTCGTGCGTTTCTGAGTTTATCCGAAGCTCCTTGCTCCCTTCAGAGTGACTCGCTCCCTTTTCTTCCTCCGCATCTGGAGAGAAGATATTTGGAGTTGAGGTCTTATAAAACCGTCCTTGGGAGTTTTGCTTATAGTGGGGAGATGGGGTTTTTTGGACAGAATGTGCAGATTACATAGGAAAATCAATGTTTACTTGAAACAGGTAACAGATTGATTCCCCTCCCCCCATTTATATTTTTTAAGACTAGCCCTTGATATCTCAAAATTAGTATTGATAGGCTTTCTTCTGGATTATATTGCTTTATGTAATGTGGGTAATTGATATAATCTGTAGTATTGCTAAATATGCAGTAAGGATAGCAAAAACTATCCTTAGAGACACATAATAAAAATTACAGATCAAAGAAAGAAAGGAAGTTGGAAAGAGAAATGAAACTATACAGTAGTTGGGAAAGGAAAATATTAAAAAGAATCGCTTGATAATAAAATGACTGGCACATTCTGAGGGAAGTAATGAAAATGTCTTAGTATTTAAGAGAAGATAAAGTGCAAGAAAAAAGTATGCTTCTAATTTGAAATTGGTTCTAAACCTGCAGCTACCTATGGTTCTACCTTCATGGAAGGGTTATTTTTCTTCTTTAATTCTCTTCATGGTTATTGCAATAGTCTTGCCACTTTATATGCAGGTCTTCTACTACATGTAGCCATTATCTTGACTGCTATATAGAGTTTCTTTCATCTTCTGCTTGGTCAAAAAGCTGAACCATCTAGAGCTTTTAGTAGCAATGTGAAGTATCAACATTTAACAATGGCTGTTTACATTAATTCCTCATGAACAGAGCTCTTTTTCATTATCACTAATTTTAAAGTTCTAATTTGTGGAAACAAAGGTTAGATTTTGAGAGATGTGAAAGATTTTTAATAGATAAATCATGCTGATAAGTTAATATTTTAACTACAGTATGAATATATACCGGTATTAAGGAATAATGAAAGCAGCTGTTAAAGTGTGCCCCCTGACTGTATCAATCAAAAGAAAATTTGCATGAATATTGTATCTTATTCATTTCATTCTTATCTTTAGTGACACCTTATTCTTTAACAACAAACAATAGGTGGGCAATCATTCTTCAGCCGGAAAGATTCTATACGAACTATATATACGTCTCTGCATAATGAGCTGAAGAAAGTGGTAGCAACTGGTCGGAATGCAGTGGGAGGAACAGCTCCTCATCTTGAAGAATTACTTTCTCATCTTTCTGAGCAGCTCTGCTTCTTTGTCCAGGCTCGGATGGAAATTGCTGACTTTTATGAAAAAATGTACAGCATCAGTACCCAAAAGTATATAAACTCTGAGGAATTGATAAATGTTTTGGAATCCATTCTCAAAAGATACAGCTCAAGGTTAGTATGTGTACACTGTACAGAATGACTGGGAATCTGAAAAATTCTTATTAATATGGTAAAGGTAACAATACTCTCAAGTTGAGCTCTTGGTAACTGTATTTGCACAGTTATTCTGCAAACAGTAAGAAAGTGGTTTACTGTGCTTTCAGGATGTTTTAGGCCATTCCAGTCTAGCCAACAGCACTGAAATTCTGCTGTTGTCTACTATCTAATTCTAAACTAATTAGGACTCACCAGATCAGCCATTGGATAAAATGAAAGCATGTTTTAAATTTCAAAACTAAGATCGTTTAGTTTCTATTTTTGTAAAATATGTAATTTCATACTATCAACAGGGTTTAGACAATATTCAGTTATATATATTATATTTAGAGTTAAAATTCTAAAGCAAATATAGCACTGTTTTCATCTTTACCTTTCTAACCAGAAAACCAGTAAATGTGTACATGTTGCTTAAATGCAGACCATAATCTGACCTATGCCGAGAGCCGAGGTGGCGCAGTGGTTAGGGTGCAGTACTGCAGCCACTTCAGCTGACTGCTAGCTGCAGTTCGGCGGTTCAAATCTCACCGACTCAAGGTTGACTCAGCCTTCCATCCTTCTGAGGTGGGTAAAATGAGGACCCGGATTGTTGGGAGCAATATGTTGACTGTAAACTGTAAAAGCACTATGAAGCAGTATATAAGTCTAAGCACTATATAACA